CCATCCTAAAAGCAATAATATTAAATTAAATAAATAAATAAATAATGTGCTTCTCACGAAACTGAGTTTTCATAAAAATGAGATTAATAGAAGTTGAGTGTAGGATTGAGCTGCCAGACAGCTGCAGACGGGTGGAATCATACCCCCCACCCACCCAATAATCAGAAGGCACAAGACATCTAATATGGAAATATCATTTTCAGTTCAATTGTATTCACATGACACTTCCATCAATTAATTTGCTTAAAACTGCTGGACCATGAACAATAAAAATAAAGTAGAAAAGAGATGAAGAATAGATGTTTGTGAATGTTCAACTCCTTTGGAAGGTGTAAGATGATTTATTGATTCAGCAAAACCGGAATCAACATATCATCATCCATCCTTTCATTCAACTTTTTATATGAACTAGGGTTGAAAGATTCGACACGATTTACGTACACAATTCGAATACTATAGGATATAAATGGGTTTGAATTTATTTTAATTGGGTTTGAATTATAAACAGGTTGACACAATTAACTTGTTCTATTAATGATGTCATGTTAAGGTTGATGTTTTTACATATTTCAGTACTGTAGCAACGAGTACTATAACGATGAACAGTATAAAAAAGAATTGAAAAACTCTTAAATGACAAATTTTAAACTAACCATTATATTTTTTAAACTTACAACACTCTTTTATCCAATATGTTTTTATGTTTTCGCTTTAAAAAATCTTACAACAAATGGACGTTATCAAACATGATTCCGCTTACTATTCAAAACACTCTATAACAAAATACTTGTTTTGTTTCTGGCTAAAACAAAAACACGAAATCAAAATACGTACCAAACAGGTTTGAGTTTATTTTAATTGGGTTTGGGTCATAAACAGGTTGGTACAATTAACCTGTTTCATTAATGGTGTCGTATAAGGGTTGAAAAGTTCAACATGTCTAACTAAAAGTTTCATAATCGTATTAATATCATCTGTATAACTGATCACCAATTATCATGAACAATTAGGTCATTTTATCATAAACTCTAACAAAAATATACATTAACTCATTAACACCTTAACTAATATATATATATATATATAAAATTTATTTTTTGATTGAGTATTATAGATAATTTAATGTATGCATTAATATATATAATTTATTTTTTGATCGAGTATTATAAATAATTTAATATATGCATTAATAAATAAGTTATTAAACAGATTAATACGCGTAATTCATTTAATAAACATAGTATTAAATGAGTCCTATTCAAATTAACTCGTACTATTAGATTGACATGACAAAATTATGAGCAGTATGCACTAATTGTCACTCCTTTATAAACTAAAAAATTAATTGAGTGGACATATGATGAATAATAATGGATCAATGATAGATGGGGGCTTGGTGCTTTGGACATGCTACTGTTTGAAGTCGTCGGTTAATCTGTGCTTTATCGCTTTATGTTGCATCAGGGAAAAATCAAACTCTTCCGTTAGGCTCAAATTTGGCAAACAGCTAGTTTTTGGATAGTCCTACACGCTATATATATATATATATATATATATTTATATACATGTATGTATTTTTATATTTGTGTAGCTTTTTATCAAGTCATTACATGTGATTGATAATTGGCATGTTCAATCAATGGGACACAGAACAGGAAATAGAATGGGACAGTATCAATAATGTACCATGTTATGCCTACCCCAAAAAAATGTACCATGTTTTGCCTACCCCAAAAAAATGTACCATGTTAAGGCTATGTGGACGATATGTATACACACACGACTTAATATAATGGTACAGTATGAATAATGTACCATGTTATGCCTACCCAAAAAAATGTATCATCTTAATTAAGGCTACGTGGATGAAAAGAATACGCATAGTGACGTAGGACTTTATTGGCACCTCTGGCTGATTCTAATTTGGTAATTTTGTACCATAGATCACTATGTCTTTTGTTCGGTTGCTATTGTTTAATGACAATACTTATCTACTCAACGTTAATTGGCACCTCTGGCTGATCCTAATTTGATAAGTCTTTGGAGGATTGTTATTGTTTAAGGACAATACTTACCTACCTTACATAAACTATGTCCTTTTTGGTAATTTTGCATTATATATATATATATATATATATATATATATATATATATGTATGTATGCAGGGCAAAATTTGAGAGTTTTCTTTATTTACTATTATTTGAGAGTTTTCTTTATTTACTATTTCATGTGTAATTGAACAATAACAACCTACCAAAAGACTATGTAATCCCTAATGACCGCCGATGTGGTTCAATTACACATGAAATAGTAAATAAAGAAAACTCTCAAATTTTGCCCTGCATACATACATATATATATAAATATATATATATATATATAATATGCAAAATTACTAAAAAGGACAGAGTTTATGTAGTTTTATTAAATTCATGCATGCTGTCATTTTGATGTGTATGATAGGTGAAGTCTCTTTTTTAATAAGTGTGGTACCATTGATGGACCCTAGTTAATTAATCTTGGACACTGACTGGCTTTTGTTTGGACATTCTTGGATAACAAGAAAGGTCTTTTATGTTAATTTTATATATGAATGCTTGAATGCGCTTAATTAAGTTGGAATCTTAAAAAAGACTTGCAGACAAGCACACAAGAATTTTTTTACTTGTAGTAGTATGTGATACAACTAGGTGTGACCAAAACATCTCCCAATAAATTTGTCAACAATATCAATTTTGTTTGGAAATATAATACAGAAATTTTTATCTTGTAGGTGCTTAAAGCAGTCATTGATGGAATGATGGCATGCACTTGGGAAAGGCCACTGTGATGAAATTCTGTGCATTTGTTGGGAGAGGAAGATTAAGGACTTGCTTGGTTCGTCACATAGAAAGTTATTTTTAAAGAACTATAAACGACAATTATCTAAAAATAATAATTTATTTTTAAAGAACTATAAACGACAATTATTTAAAAATAATAATTATTTTTTTATATAACTGAGCTTTTAGGAAATAGTTTTGAGAAAATGTCAACCTAGTAGATTTTTTTTTACAATTTTCAATTCTCAAAAAATAAAAAATAGGAAACTACTAATATTTTTTTTTTTTTTTTTTTTTTTGAGAAAATAGTGGCTCACAAATTTAGAACCGCATCCGAACACTTGTCGAACTTTTATTATTACATTAAAATTCTAATTGAATTCTTTCCTCGTATAATCACGTTAACCAAACAAATACTATTTTTTCTTTTTTCTTTTTTTTTTTTTTTTTTCTAGTTAGTATTCACACACTCTGACCCTCAAGGAATTGTTTGCACCCAAAAAGATTCGAATCTTAAATCTAATACTTTATGAATGAGGCACGACTTAAGATAATCCCTAGAGTTAATACCACTTTCTTTTTCTGGTAATTAAAAAAATATATATAGTGAGCCAGTTAAATCCTTTAGTGCCAAACATGCCTTTACTCAATGTGACACTGTTTTCTGACAGAAATTGGAAGATAGTGAGGGTGATGGAAAGGGAGGGTCACTAAGTTAGGAAAAGTGAACTCCCATATGAAAACACAACAAATGTTTGGAGAAAAGATGAGTTGCACCTCAATTATTAGGGGGGTGTTTGGGATGAGACTGGAAAGAACACAAAAGATAGTGATGGTGATAAGCAGTGTAATGATCAGAGATGCACATGCCAAACCACCACTGTAAACTCCCTTTTTCATCCTTTTTGGAGGTCTTTTTTTCCTTCCTCCCTCCCCCACAACTTGTGTCCGATCACACTCATATCATCACATTCAATCCCTCCACTCTTTGTCACATCTAACTTTACCCATTAGCTAGCCCAAAAAAATTTGTGAAGTGAAAAGGGAAAAGGAAAGGAAATGAAAAGAAAAGAAAATATAGCCCCCCCACCCCCCCTTTTTTTTTCCCCCTTCTCTCTTAACCAACTTGTAGATGATGGTCACTTCCCCCCTTCCCCACTTTAAAGATTCCAAGTACAACCCAACCAACCACCTTCCTAACTCCTCTTTTATCCTTTTTCCTCCTAAACCATTCTATATATCTATCCTATATCTCTCTCAATCTCTTCTCCAACACACCTTTCCAATATACCCTTGAATTGAATTCCAAACTCTTGTAATGCCAACCCTTCACTCTAGCCCATACAACCAAATGGAAAATCCAGCACTACTCTCATTGCTCCAACACTCCACCGGTGGCGGCAAGAGATCATCAAAGAGTTCCTCCGGTGGGGGGTTCTTCCGGATGTTCAAGCTCTTCCCTATGCTGACCTCCGGCTGCAAGATGGTGGCCTTGTTAGGCCGGCCGCGCAAGCCTCTTCTAGGGGACCACGCCACCACCGGGACACTGTTTGGGTACCGCAAAGGGAGAGTGATCCTAGCAATACAGGAGGACCCTCACCGCGTCCCCATATTCGTAATAGAGCTCCCCATACTCACGAGCGCCTTCCACAGAGAGATGGCGTCCGACATAGTGAGGCTGGCGCTGGAGAGCGAAACAAAGACTCCGAAGAAGAAGGTGTTGGAGGAGTTCGTTTGGGCCGTGTTTTGCAATGGAAGGAAGATTGGTTACTCCATTAGGAGGAAGCAAATGGGGGAGGATGAGCTTCATGTCATGCAGCTTCTGAGGGGGGTTTCAATGGGTGCAGGAGTACTTCCTTGCCCTAATGAGAAGGAAATGGCTGATGGGGAATTGACTTACATTAGGGCTAGATTTGATAGGGTTGTGGGATCAAAGGATTCTGAAGCCCTGCACATGATAAATCCAGATGGGGCTGCAGGGCCTGAGTTGAGCATTTTTTTTGTAAGAGTGCATTAGAAATATATATAACGGATATATATATATAAGTCTTTATGTATATTAAACCTTCTCCCATAAGTGCCTTGAAACTTGAATTGCTTTCTAAAGCTATTTCAATTCATTGTTGTTTTCAATGATATAATGAATACAGAAATTATTTGGGGCATGAATTTAATTATAGCATGGTTTGCATTAGAATTAAGGACTTCTCCTTCAAATTTCACTGTTCAATTGTTAGTTCTAATCAAGATGGGAATGGCACTTTTGATTTTGAAGCCGATGTCCTGTCAAGCTAAAGATGATCTGTCCTTTAATTTTTGGAAAAAAGTAATAATAAGGAACATTGAGCACTCTTAACACCTTTCATCAACTAACACGCGGTTTAGTTTGATTCTGAATAAATCAGGAGCAAATTTGTCACAGTAGTTTTAAAAATAATGAAAAATCGTCAGATTAATCCTTCAAACCATATCGAATTTGAACTATAAATGAGAGGTTTTCAATTTAGTTCTATCATTTTGTATTTTCTTACATATATATATATATATATATATATATATATATATATATATTTACTTACTAATCAAATAAACAAATTTCTCTGGGAGCACATTATCTTTTCTTACCCAAAAAACATGAAAAAATTGAAATAAAAAATTAAAATTTAATATATATATATAAAATAGTTCAATGTATTATGATATATAATAAGTAACATTATACAGTATTATGTATCAATCAAAATTCAAACACGCGTATTATTATATAATATTTGTACAATATTATCATACTCTGTATACTTTATTACAATTTGGTTCGATTATGTTCGTTTGAATTTCTAGATTGGACTGTAATCAACAAATTTTTAAAGTTTTAGAATCAAAAACCATTTTGTTGTAGAACTAATTTGTAGGTGCAAAATTCCGCTCAACCAATAATGATTTAGAAAAATAATACACGCTCAAGAATCAATAAAAATAAACAAGAACAATGTATAGGGAAGTATAGAATTGCTTGGATGCTTTTATTGGAGGTCTGGGCCTCTATTTATATACAAAAATTGGTAGAATTAAGGTAGGATTCGCGTTGTTTGTCCTCCAATTCTTCCCATATATGACTTTCTTTACAAATAGAGTTCTTTCTATTGTATAATATTTCCTACGTATAACTTGCTTTGTATAGAACTTTTCTTCTGTGTTGAATCATTTGCTTAATAGGACTGGACAATATTTAATTGTACTTGGGCCGAATGCAACTCGGTTTAAATGACTTGACCAACGGGCCAGAACTTCAACAGTAGTGACGTTGGGCTAATTAATGTTTTTACCTGGCCTTAGAGGTCCAATACAAATGATATTGGGTTAAAGAATTACGTAATTTGGGCTTGATCCAGATGGGCTTCTGAAATCTACCAAATGTAGATTTATATAGTGATGACGTGTTCAATTCTTATTGGAGGGAGATTTTTCCCTCCACACTTTGCCCCCAATTCCTCTTTAATTGGGTTACAGCTCCTAATTAAAGGGGAATTGAAGTTATGCAATTGCCACTTTCGCACGAGGCGTTTCCATTTGTGTCTATTGTTATTTTGACTCAAGGACTTCTTCAAGACTTGCTTTTGTTCTCAGAGTGCTCGTTCCGTCCATTGCGTTCTTCACATTCTCATATCTCCAGGTTAGTTCTTCTTTCCCTTCTTCCAATCTTGCATTATGAGTACTTCGACTACTCCTGAACGTATAGAAATCACAGATTCTGAGTCCACGCCTTCGTCCTCCCCTAATCTCATTAGGGTTCCTTCTCCTAGGGTTTCGAACTTCCTTAAGTCTGCAAATGACTCGGTTAATCAGCCGGATGTTTCCCCAATCTAGGCTGAGACATCCACCTCTGGGTCGGACAATATTTTTACTAAGGAAGAAAGGAACGCCATTTTATCTATTCGTCGTATCAAGTTTTCCATTGAATCCGTAATGGAAGATTTCGAGATTCCCAAGGGGATAAAAATTGTGAAATACCCCAAGGGTGCCGATTTTTGTGCCGGAGAAGGCGTCGGAGAAGACGAGTTACTCCTCTCTGTTGGGCATCTCAACGCTCTTAGATTCCCCCTTCATCCCTTTTATCATTTAGTCTTTAACAAATTAGGGATTGCACCCCTACAAGTAAACCCTAACTTCCTTTGAGTAATCTCGGCACTCCTCATTCGCCGATGGCTGGAGAGTCTTGACCTGACTCTGGCTGACTTGCTGATCACTTACACTACTTCTAAGCATGGAACCGAACCTGGTCGCTTCTATTTCACCTCTCCCTTGCACCAAAGGATATGTACAGACCTCCCTACTTCCGAAAAGAAGTGGAAAGAAAGGATGATAATTGTTAAAGGAAGATAGGCCGTGCCTCAATCGAGCAAACTCCCAATCCCACACAAGTTCGGGAAGTTAGGTATAGAACGTCCCCCCTCTCTTAATGAAGATTCTTCTACCTGTTTCCCATGTCGAGTCTTATTCTTTCGGTACATTTATGAGTTTCTTGGTGTTTTTTTAGTGACATTCCCTTCCTCTGCTGCCAAGAAGAGGCTTTCCTTCCTTGAAGAGCAGGTTTGGAGAGACACTCCTTTTGTTGAGGACTTGCTTACCTCTGCAAACCTTAAAGCAGTTGCTTCCAGAGCCGTAGCTGCTGATCTCATAGACCTCTCACTTCCATCTTTCGATAGCTTCCCCATGATTGAGGAAGAAAAACAAAGGGCTGAAGCCTTAAAGAGAAAGGTTGCAGAGAGTGCCCCATTAACTATATTGCGCTCAAACGAACAAGAGAAGGAGATTGACGAAATTCCTCTGAACAAGAAGGCAAAGTTGACTTCTTCTTCAACTACGAAATCCAAGGGCGCTTCCAACCCAAAAAGGCTGAAGAGACTAATCTTGAAGAGGAGGTCAGAGCTTACGTCCTTGCTGAGGCTGGAGCACCTTGGACTCCTTCTTTCTCGAGGGTTGACAAGTTCGTCCTCTATACCAATGATTCTATGATCACTGATCCATTTGCAATGCTGGCTGTTGCTCGGGGAATGTGGCTCCCCAAGGATGAAGAGATTATTGGTAGGATGGGATTGGAACAGCTACTCCCTTCTGCCCCCGTTCGAGCCATAGATGTTTGCTCCTCCCCTCTTCTTCCATTGTCATAATCATCTCACCAATTTTCTTATATCGTTATTGTTTTTATCTGACAATGTAAGGCCTGTATCACACCATGACTCTTTGTACCACCGCTGAGGCTCAGTCTCTCTCCAGATTAGTGCACTTGTCTAGCGCCAAGGCCTATAGGTCCGGCTTTAACCAAGGTTCAGGGGAGAAAACAACAGATCCTGAGGCTTTTGATACTCATATGGGGGTGTCTTTCCCTTATGATGAGGGTTCGAAGGCTCGGGAAGCTGAAGTTCTCTTCGCCGAGATGGTGAAGGCTCATCCTGAAGTCCCTCCAACTCCAAGTGTCTCAACTCCTGCAGCTACTCCTAGCCCATCAAATCCTCCACCTGCAAGTCCAGCTGTGGTGGATGCTTTTGAATCTACCCCGTTTGATCCGAAAAGGAAGTAGGATTAAGTAATCTTGTTCTTTTTGTAATGAAACAATATTTAGAATGATAGTTGTGAATGATATAACCATGTTTCTTAAGCTGTGATGCCTTAATTTTGCTTCGACTGAGTATGCTTGAATGCTTTTAATATTGCACACACTTTATTGGATGTGATAATTTTAAGGAAAGTACTCTGCCTGAGGGTTCCACATTTGTTTTAGTCCGAAGCAAAACTAAATAAGATGTGAAGAAGGGATCTCCTCTAACAGTTTACCCGATAACAGAGGATTATTTTTTTCCTTTGGTGATTTAACCATCAAGGGAACCCTTCTTGAAATGGAGTTGTGTGAAGTAAGTATGTTTATACTTGTTTTTTCTTGTATTTTTTCGATGTGGGACAATCTCGTGGCTCATATTACCGAACTTAGAGTCAGTGAGTATAACCTTTACAAGACCTCGGTATTGGGCGTAAGAGTAAGTTTTCCTGAACCGGACACTTAGGGTCCGAAGCGAATGAATTACTCTCCGGCGCTGAGCCTGAGGGGATGTTTGCCGAGCTGGACACTTAGGGTCCGAAGCGAATGAATTATTCCCCAGCGCTGAGCATGAAGGGAGGTTTGCCAAGCTGGACACTTAGGGTCCAAAGCGAATGAACTACTCCCCGGCGCTGAGCCTGAGGGAAGGTTTTCCGAGCTGGACACTTAGGGTCCGAAGCAAATGAATTACTCCCCGGCGCTGAGCCTGAGGGGAGGTTTGCTGAGCTGGACACTTAGGGTCCAAAGCGAATGAACTACTCCCCGGCGCTGAGCCTGAGGGGAGGTTTTTTGAGCTGGACACTTAGGGTATGAAGCGAGTGAACTACTCCCTAGCGCTGAGCCTGAGGGGAGGTTTGCCGAGCTGGACACTTAGGGTCCGAAGCAAATGAACTACTCCCCGACGCTGAGCCTGAAGGGAGGTTTTTCGAGCTGGACACTTAGGGTCCGAAGCGAATAAATTACTCCCCAGCGTTGAGCCTGAGGGGAGGTTTGCTGAGCTATCACACACACACACACACACACACATATAAATATATATATATTTCAAATAACTTGTCATGAGGCCGAAGACTCAAAAATGATAGGAGGCCAAGAAAGCGAGTAACAGTGGCTAGGAAGTTTCCAATTTGCTTATTTTGGAGACTTTCTTCCATTGAGACTCCCTTCTTAGTGACCAAATGTAGTGGATTACGCATATATCAACCGCATTTCTTTTCTACTTCTATCCGATATGGGACATAGATTAAACTTTGTCAAAAAAGTCAGTGTAAGGAATGCTTCTAGTATTGGGCTTGGCGGCCTTTAATACCAGTGGGCCCTCCTTATACTGCAGTCAACTATTTAAATATTCCCATATATAACATAATGTAAAACATACTTTTTTATCGACGTGGGATAGAGAGTTTTAAATAGGCCATAACTTGGGTTTAAAAAAGAATCATTGTGATGAATGCTTTTAAAAAAGAATCATTGTGAAGAATGCTTCTTAATAACTTGATTTAAGCATTGCTTTGCATAAAAATTGCATAATGCGTCTTGGCACACAAATATGCATAAAAATCACATTATTATAGGGTACTA